TCACCCTCTTCTAACAATGCAGATTCTATTACTCATCAACTGGTAGTTAAGTTACGCGTCACCGTACGCAACTTCTTTGCCTTATTCATAGCCTCCATTTTACCATTAGATCTATCAACTAAAATAATCACCAAGATTTTTATTCAACAATTCTATCAAAACTGGGAAAAATGAAAAAGGGCCTACCTCGAATTTCTTCGCGTTAAATCCTGGCTTTCAGTCAGAACTCACTAATTTTCTTCGTCCATTCTTCATCTCCACAAATCAAGTCCGGTGTCACCAGAAAAAATGTACATATCCAAATGATCAGAAGGTTGTTGATGCTGTTCCTTGATCTATTGCACCAAGATATTACTGTACATTTATTTACAATTTATTTACAAGTCGTATGCACCTGGCATGTTTACAAGCGTTATGCCTCCTGGCATGTACATAATAGACATATTCTGCCACCTGGCATGTGAATTGATACATCATATTAGTTTCTGCCACTGACAGATACGATGCAATTACCTCATTAGCGGTAATACGCCCGAACATTTTGGCGTGTCCGCTTCCCTTACGTTCTGCAACGCAACTAACTTTTGTGCGGTGCGCCCTCTGGGCACAAATCACCGCAATCACCGAGGAGGCCAAAACAGACTGTTAGAGCAATTTTATAAAAGTAAGCTCAAACTTTCGATTATGTCAAATAGAATTTCTGATATATATTTACTAATATGTAAAGGATCTACAAAGCAAAAGTATGTTTCGAAGTCCATTAAACAAAAAGTGGAATTGCTGCAAAAAATGGATAAAGGCATATTCTTTGTTTATCTAAATTTTAACGTTTGTTTATCTAAAATTTGTTTATCTTTAGCACCGCGGTGGGCGGGCGCGCAATGAATTGGAAGTTGATCTGTCAGCACTATCCTTATCTTCAGAGCAGATGTTTTTATATTATTTGGCTTATAATTCTTTACTAAATGTAGTATTTCAGCTCGATGTACTCCATCTTTGATATGATTTAAATCAAATTCCTCGTCATTATAATTCGCTTCCAATAGCGAAGAAAGTGATAGAGGTTATTGAAAATGAAAAAATTTCGATTGACAAATTAGTCGGTATTCTTGATACAGCAATTATAGGATTTGAACAGCGGAACTTTGTAACTGAACAAGAAATTATGTCTGTTTATAAAATTAAAGAGAATGTATTATCACATAAAAAACGAAGCAACTTAAACAACTTAACATCGAAAGAAATGTTTAATAAGAAACAATAAATATTAAGCTTTTTTTTTTTTTTTTTTTTTTTTTTTTTTTTTGTAAATTTGATACCTTTAGATATAATTGTTCTTTATTTCATAAATTACGGTTTCATATTTTAATTTATAATTCTGCATGCCATCTTACCAGATTTAAACTGATGATCTATAATCCGGATTAACAACTTTGACCGTATATATATAATAAAATTCTTTCCAAATACCATCTCTAAGGAACTATCTATCTATATATATATATATATATATATTATAATTTATAATAAAAAAATCTTTCCGTATACCATCTCTAAGGGTCTATATGTATGTATAATAGACAGTGAGTTTTCTGTTTGGGTTCATGCCAGTATGGGTGTGCAGTTGATTTTACAGCCATGAATGGGAAAGAGATAGAAGCTGTATATGAAATAGCGGTTTATTATTTGTTTTCAGTGTTTAATGTACATCAAAATGTGGTGTTGAAAAATAAATCAAGATCCTTCTTTTCAACTGAAATATCATGTTTACACTCCCTACTTACCAGAAAAGGTAAATGAAGTTTTTTCTTATTTTAAAACCAGATTGATAGCTGAGCTTGCATAGGTCAGTGGATGCTTACAACTTCAAATCAAAAGCAGTTGGCACACTACCTTTTGGACAAAGCAACAAATAATATAGATTTTGGGCAAAAATGTATGAAACTAAACAGTAAATGATAGGATATGGGGGATATAAATGTAAATGAATAGGGAGAAAGGAGTAAAAGATGTACAGTCAAAAGTCTTTGATGCGGACTCGTCGGGACTCTGGCAATTCCGGGTTATTGGTTGTTCCGGATCATCAGTTTAAATCTGGTAAGATGGCATGCAGAAATATAAAATTAAAAATATGAAACTGTAATTTATGAAATAAAGAGCAATTATGATCTAAAGGGTATCAAAATTTACAAAAAAAAGCACAATATTTATTTGTTTACTTTATTAAACATTTCTTTCAACGCACGCATGCGTAAAGCATACATTACGTATAGTCGAAATTAGAAAATTGCAACCAGAAAACTATTTGATGTGTATTTGTGATATTTATAATGCCAAGGAATTTGATTTAAATCATATCAAAGACGGAGTACATCGAGATGAAATACTACATTTAGTAAGGAATTATAAGGCGAATAAAGTAAAAAAACATCTGCCCTGAAGATAAGGATAGTGCTGACAGATCAACTTCCAGTTCATTGTGTGCCGCACCATTCCCCCCCCCCCCCCGCCCACAGAGCAGCATGCAATTGATAAACAGATTTTGGAATAGTTAGAGAAACAAAGGATATGCCTTTATTCATTTTTTGCGGCAATTCCACTTTTTGTTTGATGGACATCGAAACATGCTTTCGCTTTGTAGATTCTTTGGCAGCTCCAGAATCGGAAATTCTTTTTGACATAATCGAAAGTTCAAGCTTACTTTTATAAAATTGCTCTAACAGTCTGCAAAAAATAATAAGCCGGATCCAATTAGAAGATTAAGGAACAGCACAATCTGCAACATTAACTGAAATAGATAATTAGATAATTTTAGCTTAGCCTATACCGTTCATTATACATTAAAAGCGCGTGCGTAAATGCATTATGCGCATGCATAAAGGTATTATGCGTATGCGTAAACGTATTATGCATTTACGCATGCACAGAAAGTTTGTAGCTTTGAGGTCCGGATTATGGACGTACAGATTAAAGACTTTTGACTGTGTAAAATTTTGCATCTTTTTCTTCCAGAATTGGAAAAAGAATAAATGATTTGGTTTTAAAGCTCTCACCTTAAAAGAATTAGCAAGAGCTGACTGACCCTTTGCCACTTTTGAATTGTTTTGAGATGTTCCTTCTGAGGGTGCTATTTTTGCTTTAATAGAATTGATATTAATGCAGATTGGTTATGGACAAAAAAGTCTAGTTATCATACGAGATTAGGTAAAACCTTGATTTGTAATTAGGTAACCACATGTTTATTTTAAATATAAACAAGAGCCAAATATTTTTTTAAAAAAGTACATCCAGAGGGGCTTTTTTTAACATTTTGTGTGTTACCTTTATTTATTAATTATCATGTTCTTCTCATTTAAACTACAAAATTCAATTCAACAGTAATATTACAAAATATTCAAAAAGAGGGTATCTTTAGAATTTCTGATATGCGGTCTCGTGCGCTGGATATAAAAATGTTTTTTTCCCATACAGTGTTGCCATTGCTGGCTTTGAAATTGTTGAGTTTGTTAATCAAAAATTCATTTCAGTTTTGAAAAATATATAATAAATAATAAAACATATTCTGAAATTCGAATTTGGGCTTCCAGATGCCTATATTCAAGTGGAGGACTATGTTGTTCAAAATGTCTTATAGGTACTGTTGTTTTCTCACATTGCAAGAAACGTATCCATGCAAATTCTTCATTATTTAATTTCTTTAAGTATGATACAGTACAAAGTCCGTAATCCAGATGTCCATTATCCGGAATGATCTATAATCCAGATCTCAAAGCCACAAACCTTTTTTTTTTTTTTTTTTTTTTTGTATGCTTTACACATGCACGTAATGCATTTACGCATGCGCATTTAGCACAAAAAAACGAAGCAACTTGGAACAACTTACATTGAAAGAAATGTTTAATAAAATAAACAAATAAATTTTAAGCCTTTTTTTTTTTTTTTTTTTTTTTTTTGTTTTGTAAATTTTGATACTTTTTAGATCATAATTTCTCTTTATGCACGTAATGCGTTTACGCATGCGTGTTTAATATTTACGCATGCACGTTTAGCACAAAAAAACAGAGCAAACAACTTACGTTGAAAGAAATGTTTAATAAAATAAACAAATAAATATTAAGGTTTTTTTTTTTTTTTTTTTTTTTGTGTTTTTTTATACTTTTAGATCAATGCTCTTTATTTCATAAATTACGGTTTAATATTTTTAAATGTATAATTTCTGCGTGCCGTCTTACCAGATTTAAATTGATGATCTATAATCCGGAGAAACCCCTAATCCGGAATCGCCGAAGTTCCGACGAGTCCGGATTATGGATTTTGTACTGTACAGGACTCTAATATTTGGTGGCAACAATTTGAAAAGTGAAACGCCATATTATAGTGGGCAATTCAAAATGCCAAAATAAAATTAATAGCTCTTCTGAGCAAGTTCCTCTTTTGTGTTAATAATACTTTATTGAAAAATAAAATGGAGAATCTGCTAAGAAAAAGAAATTAAAGCAATTTAAGGAACTAAAGTAAAATTATGATTTAATTTAAGTAAACATTTGCAGAATTTTTAATATCTTTGCACCTCAGAAATATTTTTAGTTCAAAGAAAGTATGACTAAATTGTGTTGCAGGCAGAGATTTTTAGAAGTTTAATACTGAAGAATTTATCTATGGTATTATGTCTCTAAGCAAAGCTATCTGTTTGGAACTTGTCAGAAACAGTTCAAAATGTAGGCAGCAATAAATCACATTGAACAAATTCTGAGTGAAACAGATCCCCATTGAGTTTCAAGCAGAGTCAAGTGATGCAAAAATTTAGTGTGTAGATAGAAAGGAATTCTTCATGTAAGACAAAAGGCCTTCAAGAATGAATTAAATACACGAACCTAGTTACGAAGAAAATGAATCTATTGTTATACATAAACAAGCAAAAAATTGCTTCCCTTATATTTCATTATCTTTATATGTTTTAATCTTAATTAAATAAGAAATTTAAATGAATGTGTTTTTAGGATCCAAGTCGCAAGTGCCTTATGGAATATAGTAATACTGCTATTGCAAAAGCTGAAAGTTTGAAAGAGAGTCTAGTAAAGAGGTAAATAACTTTTCTGCTGTTTAACGTGCCTTTTATTGTGACAGTCCCTGTGTTTCCTAAATGATCTTATTAAAATTTACTAGGTATGCCCATCTAGAAGAAGCTGCTTGCAGGAAAAAGAACGAAATAAATGAGCGCATTTCAGTACTTCGTGCTAGTGAACCAGATAAAAATATATCATTGGAGCACAAAGTTATTTCTAATATAGAAGTAACAAAAGAAAAAGGTAATTATTATTGAAAATTGTTTAGAATATAAACTCTTTACTTTTATTTGGTGTTAGATGTATCTGATGATTAGTCGTTTATTATTTCCGAGAATGAAATTTCATACAGGTTTCTGGTCTGTAGAGTTATTAGCCATATAATAACATTTTAAAAATAAAAAATAAATTCTTGTTATAATAAAATATTAGTTTTCAAGCAGTTTTTACAAGAGTTGCATAAATAAAGAAGAAAAATATATATATATGTATATACACACACTCTTTTATTTTACATGCACATTTATATGAATCTGATAATAGTAATTCTTTATGCTTGTTTTACATTGCAAAGATTTAGAAACAAATAGATTAAAACTACTGCCAGAAAATCAGAATTGTTTAAGTAGATACAATGACAGGGGCATGAATTACTGTATTTGCCGCCATATAAGACGCACCCCTTTTTTTTTTCATATACATTTTTGAAGGCTAAAAATTTACTACTGATCATAATGAATTTACAGTATTTTAAATATAAAGTACAGTCAAAAGTCGTTAATCCGGACTCGTCGGGACTTCGGCGATTCCGGATTATCGATTTTTCCGGATTATAGATCATCAGTTTAAATCTCGTAAGATGGCATGCAGAAATTCTAAAATTAAAAATATGAAACCGTAATTTATGAAATAAAAAACAATTATGATCTAAAGGGTATCAAAATTTGCAAAAAGAAAAAGCTTAATATTTATTTGTTTACTTTATTAAACATTTCTTTCAATGTAAGTTGTTTAAGTTTTGCTTCGTTTCATGTGATAATACTTTGTCTTTAATTCTATTAAACAGACATAATTTCTTGTTCAGTTACAAAGTTCCGCTGTTCTAGTCCTATAATTGCTGTGTCAAGAACACCGACTAATTTGTCAATCGAAATTTTTCGTTTTCAATAACCTCTGTTTACTTTTCTTCGCTATCGGAAGCGAATTATAATGACGAGAACTTGAAACTTGTTTTTTTAAATCATATCAAAGACGGAGCATATCGAGATGAAATACTACATTTGGTAAGGAATTATAAGCCAAATAAAATAAAAAACATCTGCGCGCTGAAGATAAGGATAGTAGTGCTGACAAATCAACTTCCAATTCATTACGCGCCCGCCCGCCGTTGCGTTCCCCCCGCGGAGCAGCGTGAAATTGATAAACAGATTTCGGATTTCAAAACATACTTTCGATTTAGATCCTTTACATATTAACAAATATATATCGGAAATTCTATTTGATATAATCGAAAGTTTAAGCTTACTTTTATAAAATTGCTCTTACAGTCTGCAAAATATAATAAGCCGGATCCAATTCGAAAATTAAGGAACAACGCAATCATCAACATTAACTGAAATAGATAATTAGATAATTTTAGCTTATACGTCTATTATACATAAAACGTACACGCGAAAACGTATTCTGCACTTGCGCACACTCATATGCGGAGTCATAAAAGGTCTTACGCACACGCGTAAACGCCTATGCGCATGTGTCAACGCGGCGCATGCGCAGAAAGTTTTTAGCTTTGAGGTCCGGATTATAGATCATTCCGAATTATGGGTGTCCGAATTAACGACTTTTTACTGTAATACAAATACAAAGTAATACTTTCTGCAAATACCCATTCTATCTGGTAAAGAACATTTTTTAAGCTTCTTCATCAAAACCCGGCCACTCATCTCCAGAGCTAAATGAAGAGTCACTTGAAAGATCTAAATCAGCATCTGAGTCTTCATACAACAAATTGTCCTCAGTATCATCCACTGCATTGCTAATGCCACACTTCTCAAATGATTTAACCACTGTCTTTGTTTTCACAGCGTCCCATGAAGCTTTGACCTATTCACAAACTGAAATGAATGTAATCAAAAACCGAGTATCGACATATAAGACGCACCCTGTTTTTCAGATCTATTTTCAAAGAAAAAAGTGTCTTATATGCAGGCAAATACAGTATAACAGCAAAAATGCAGAAACTGTTGGTGGTAAATCATGAGGTGGAACAGCACATATGTGTAAGGTAATGATTTAAGTACATGTGTTGTATCATCTTTACTAGAATTATTTATCTTTTTTAATTCATAACTATGAATAAAAAATTTGCAATAATGTCTTTGTCCACAGTACACATGTTTTTTCTATACTATTAAACAAGCTTTGCAAAAATTCTAATAAGAAAGAAGAAACATTGTTGATGCACGAAGTAAAAATTTAGGAAGAAAGGCTTAAAAATACCGTATGAATATAAATGTTGTTTTTTTCTATACTACTAAACAAGCTATACTAAAATTTTAATAAAGAAGAAGAAAACATTGTTGATGCATGATGTGAAAAATTTAGAAGGAAGGCTTAGAAGTATCGTATGAATGTAAAATATGAAAAGTACGTATTCTTTATACTAGCTGTTATAAAACATCGAAGATGTCTTTGATCTTTATTTTTGTTTTGCATGCAATGGATTATACTAACCTCCATTTAGTAAGCATAAACCATACAATGTTCTTGTAAGTTTTTCCTCCATGTAACATATACACTGCGCAAAAAAAAAAAAAAAAAAAAAGTAGGAACAGTTATCTCCCATTCTACTGGGCCGATTGATAAAATTCAACTTGCGTTTTTCATGCCTCGAAAGCGCGACTTAGGATATGTATTTGATTTATATATAGCATCGTTCTAATATAGGTATTTTGTCACAAAATTGGACTTTTCCTGAAATAACATATGAATTTTTTCCCATATTTTGATTTTACGATTCAAATTATGCCAAACTACCAAGTTTTGTAATAATCGCACAAGTAATTTTTAAAAATTAGCTCTCAAAATTTTAGCTCCTCCATGTAAATCGAGTTTGGTATATGTTTATTAATCTCTCTTTTTTTTTTATTAAACTTATTTGATTCTTCTTTTCACATTTTGTAATTTACATTCGTTCCAAATAAAATTCATGAATTTTTACTTCCTAGTACGAAGTAAAAAGGAAGTATTGTAATCACGAAATGTTTCAGGCATCATATTTCAACTCGAATATCCATTTTCACCGCTATCGAATGCAATTTAACGATGTTTTTGCGTGCCATCTGTGCGGAAGGACAGGATAAAGGACTCTTCCCCCCCTCAAATTTTAAAACAAATTTTAAATGAATTCCGAAGAGAATTTTTCATGTCGTCTGTGCATACGTACGTAGGTATCTCACATAACTCAAAAACAAGTAGCCTCAGAACGTTGAAATTTTGTATATAGGACTTCTATAACATGTAGATGTGCATCTCGTATTTTGGTTGCAATTGGCCACACCAAAAGTATATAAATATATATGTATATATATATTCACTCTGTTACTCGGCTCCGTGATCTCAGTTTATTTATTCTTTTATGTTTGTGAATTGTGCATTTTTTGCTTTAAAAATGATTGAATTATGTTGTACTTATCTTCCGGTTAAAGTTCTTATGCCTTTAATAAATCTGTATTCAGTATTTTTAGAATTATCAACAATTCAAAAGTTGTTTAAGTGTAGCTAAGCCTAATAATTTCTTCCATGGCGGCCATTGCTTGTTTACATTTGAAACAGCAGAATAGTAGATTTGTTGCCAATCTAGAGAAAGTAAGCTTCGCAATAACAAAGATAACGCCTTCTTTTATTATTGCGAATTAAATCATGCTTAATCCATTCTGGAAGTTATTGAAGGAAATAAGTGTTTAAGATTTACTTCATAATTTTCAATACAGGCATCTTGATTTTAATGTATTTTTTTGCCTTGTTGGGAAGTGAGAACTGAATTAATTGAGTGAGAAATAATGAATCGTCTGTGAAAAACTGTTTCTTTTTTGTTTTGTTTGCTTAATTTCTTTTATACATCATTTTAGATTTATTATAGTATTTGAATTGAACATATGGCAACAATTAGATAATTCTTAAAATGATATAAATTTTGTGCATTCTGAGTTAAAAAATGAATGAAATGTAATGCTGTTAAGTGAACCTGGGCACAGTGTTGCTATGGTAAACAAATATAGTGAATTTTAGTGAGTGCATTTATTCCATTGTGGTTTATGCGATATCGACAAAATAGATTTAATTCAATCCAATAATTTTAAATGAAATGCAAGAATAAATGGGTATAATTTGATATTCCATACAAGAAAATCATGCAATGCACACTTTTTTTTTTTTTTTTTTTTTTTTAGAAATTGCATGAGTATTTTTTAAAAAATTAGCTCTCAAAAGTTTAGCTTCTCAATGCTAATTAAATTTGATATATATTTACAGTCAAAAGTCGTTAATTCGGACACCCATAATCCAGAATGATCTATAATCCGGACCTCAGAGCTACAAACTTTCTGCACATGCGTCTCATTGACGCATGCGCGTAAGACCTTCACCGCTACGAATTTGCGTGTGCGCGTGCGCAAAATACGTTTACGAATGCGCGTTTAATGTATAACGGACGGGATAAGCTAAGCTAAAATTATCTAATTATCTATTTCAGTTAATGTTGCAGATTGCGTTGTTCCTTAATCTTTGAATTGGATCCGGATTATTATTTTTTGCAGACTGTTAGAGCAATTTTATAAAAGTAAGCTTGAACTTTCGTTTATGTCAAATAGAATTTCCGATATATATTTACAAATATGTAAAGGAAATACAAAGCGAAAGTATCTTTCGGAGTCCATTAAACAAAAAGTGAAATTGCTGCAAAAAATGGATAAAGACAATATCCTTTGTTTATCTAAACTTTAACGTTTGTTTATCTTTAACGCGGCGGTGGCGTGCAATGAATTGGAAGTTGATCTATCAGCACTATCCTTGTCTTAAGGGCAGATGTTTTTATTTTATTTGGCTTATAATTGCTTACTCAATGTAGTATTTCATCTCGATGTACTCGGTCTTTGATATGATTTAAATCAAATGCCTCGTCATTATAATTCGCTTCTCCGATAGGGAAGAAAGTGACAGAGGTTATTGAAAACGAAAAAATTTCGATTGACAAATTAGTCGGTATTCTTGACACAGCAATTATAAACAGCGGAACTTTGTAACTGAACAAGAAATTATGTCTGTTTATAGAATTAAAGAGAATGTATTATCACATAAAAAACGAAGCAACTTTAGTGGTCATCTTGTTTCATTGAAAGAAATGTTTAATAAAGTAAACAAATAAATATTAAGCTTTTTTTTTTGTAAATTTTAATACCCTTTAGATCATAATTGTTCTTTATTTCGTAAATTACGGTTTCATATTTTTAATTTTATAATTTCTGCATGCCATTTTACCAGATTTTAACTGATGATCTATAATCCGGAATCGCCGAAGTCCTGACGAGTCCAGATTAACGACTTTTGACTGTATTAATATCTAATTTTTTAAACTTTTTTTATTCTTTCTTTCACATTTCGAAATTTAGATTCATTTCAAATAAAATTCAACCATTTTTTATGATTTATTTTTTAAATTTGTATTTTTTAATAATTTTTATAAATTTTATTGAAACAATTTTGAATTAAAACCTATAATTTGTTTACCATCATCCTAAAGTAGGTGTATTTATAAGCATACCTGCAAAAAATTAGGGTTTTTTTATTCAAAATTTCCTAAGATATACACTAATTTACATATTTTCGTATTTTGAAATTTGGAATGTTTTTTCTGAGCGATAATAATGCCAAATGTGGTTTGTGGACTTTTCTTAAGTGAATTGCCACACTTATTTTTAACCTTAAATTTCAAATAAATTTTTATGGAGAATTAATTATATGAAATTTCCCCCCTCAATGATGCGTAATAAATATTTGTTAATACTATATGAAAAGCTACTTTTTTTTTAAAAAATTATAGATGATATTCAGAATTTAAACTTTTTTTGAATTTCTTTCTTTCATCCTTTTTTTTTTAAAAAAAAATTTGTAAGAGTAAATTTTTATCTTCGCCGTGTTATCCTCTGCTGCTTTACTTTAACTGCATTTAAACTGAATTGTCTAAAGCCGAGAAAGTTGGTTTGATGTTTATTTTCACAATGTTTTTAAGCAAACAGGCTGTTGACAGTTTGAGTTATGTCCCAGCTTTAAAACATATATATAGAAATATAAATTTTTACATTAATTCTTTCTTTACATTAATAAATTCTTTATTAATTTTTACATTAATAAAGAATTTTTCAAGTAGCTAATTTTCTCTCATGTCATAAATTGTATAAAAAACATGATCTTTAATATGATTTAGATTGTTTGCAGCCGATAAAATGATTGGGTAACTCGGTGGTACAGAATAAATACAGTGTTTTATTTCTTTGTCATTGAGCAAAAAAATTAAAATATTTATCCTTTGGACTTTGCTTTAAACTTTATTTATAGTTAAAATAAATGCCTAGAAAATGAAAAGCAGTCTTCAGCTGAAACGTATTTGATGTATTTGATATTTTAAAAAATTTGAAAAGACTGCAAAATTTATGGAAGTGTAACAGTTGAAAAATCTTAATTTTCTTGTGTGTAAACTGAAAATAAATGTAGAAAGAAAGAAGAAAATTATGGAGAAAAGTAAACAAAAATTTGAAGGGAAATTTGGCTGTCAGAAATACTAAGATGTTTCGAAAAGTTGGATGGTTTTTAATATACTTGAAGAATGCCTGAAAAAAAAAGGCAAGCCATTATAAAGAAAAAATAAATTTTTGCATAAAATTTGCTAATTTTTTAATTTAAAACTTTTAATCTTTTGATATTTGATTCTTACGATTTCAAAAATAAAATATTTGACTAAAATATGAATAACATTTTAAGAAACTAAATGTAGGATTAAAAAATTGTGTAAAGCAATGAGCATAATGAAGTGTTTTAAGCATGTAATGTAGTCATCCTAAGTTAAAATGTGCTTATACTTTTTATTTATATATCTTTTTTGAAGGAACATGACGTGTTTACATGCTTTCTGTATTTTCTCTTTTATATATGCGTTTTCAAATGCATTGAGTCTAGTACAAAGTCTTCTCCGAAAGAAACGAATCAAAGAAATAAAATAAAATTTGGAAATTAATTAAAAAATATTTAAATGTCAGTTCGAATGAAAAAATAGAATTTTAAAACAATTATGTGAAGAGCAATGCCACGAACAATTAAATGAAGTCTAAAAATTCAAAATACTAAATAATAATATGACAAAAAAACTTATAAAGAAAACAATTTTAAAAAATACTGATACACCTTTTATTAAACTATGCAGTTCAATGGGTAAACGGAAATTTTAAAACGTTATTCGAAGAAACCATGCACTTAAACAATTAAAATGAAATCAAAAGAAAAATTATTAAAATTAACAATTATAATTAAAAATATAAATTAAAAGAACATTATTTGAAAAAGGAATGATTGTGACTTTTTTAATCTGCTCGCGCACGATGTAAAAAAGGGAAGGAAACCAGGTTGACATACATTAAGAAGTTCACCAGGTGAACTATTCTTGGTGCTAACTGAAAAAAAGTATCAATGTAAATTTGTGAATTTCTTCGTAAATTTCGCACCAAATTTTACAAAATTTCATATTTAGGCATAATTCGAGTCATAGAATCAAAATATAGAAAACAATTGGTATGCTATTTCTGAAAAAGCCTGATTTTGTGTCAAAATTCCCATGTTAGAATAGAGCTATATATAAATCTAATATATATCGTAAGTCGTGCTTTCGAGACATGAAGAGCACTATTTGAATTTCATCAATCGGCCCAATAGAACGGGAGATATAGAACTCTCTCTTTTTTTTTTTTTTTTTTTTTTCCGCAGTGTACATTAAGCCAAGTTATGTTCAATAAAGTTATCATGTAACTTTATGAAGCACTTAAGGTGTTGTTTGAATGATAGCAAGTACTTTCACTATTGACATAGAAGCCACTGAATGGTAATTAAAATGTAGAATATTTTCGTCAGATTGAAACTGGATAATTTAACTAGAAATTCATACTTTAGAGCACCTTAGTCTGGAACGTTTTCTTTTTCCTCATCTACTGAACTAACACTAGAAATAAGCACAGACTCTGCAGACTGATAGTTAATTTCACCAATGCCTCTTTTATGTGTTTCTGGCTGAAAAAGGATGAATGAGAGAAGATTTTTTTATTTTAGTAGACCTTTCAAATAAAAAATTATAGTCCCTTCCAAAAGTCCCCTTACATTTTCAGGTAATCATTAAGCCTCATAATTTTTAAAAAATATCTTTGTTTTTCTTGTAACTGTTTTCAAACTGTCAGTAGTTATATACACAGTGACTTTTACCAGCTAAAACAAAATAAAAGAGTTAGTTATATGCATAAAAATATGGGAATTTACAATACCGTAAAATACAAGTATTTGCATTAATTTACAGTATACCTGATATACATTGCAACATATAATCTATATACTTTTGTGTAATTTACATTTTTTTTACAAGATTCTGGTGACTTTATCTAATTGAAAGCATTTTGTTTTTTGAATATTTTAAAAGTATGTTCTTTAATATAAGTTCTGACATTAGTTTTCACACTGAGAAACAAGCAAGATAATATTGCTAGAATCTGGTAGTTTTTGGTTATCTCCCCACCACCATCATAGAAAAGTGACAAAAAAGGGATCTGTGAGACAAAGCAGTATGTTGTCAATATAGTTAAGTAACAAGCCATGATATTGCCAAAAATTATTTAAGTGGTGATCCAGATATGCACATGGCACGTATCTGTTGTGACCCGTGCATAATGCAGATGTTGTGGGATGTTCATTTATGTTTTTTAAAGTGAAAATAAATTGCTGTGTACATAGGGAGAACAACAGTGCCCCCCCAAAAAAAAGGATTTCTCAAAAAGATAAGCATTTTGCTGTAAATGTTTCATCAGTTTTCTTTATTTCTCTTCTATGAAAATCTTAAGTACCAGACCATTTTAAAATGGCTGTTGTCTTTCATGCATTCATTAGCTTGGTGAAAAATTTGTCGGTAACAAGTTCACTGCTTTTTGGTAGAAGGAGCAGATAATCAGAAAGTACAGAATATTTTCAAGAAGGGCTAATATTTCAATTATTATGTTATTGATAACAGCTTTAAAAAAATACTTATTTATTTGTGTTATTTTTTTATTATAATATTTGTCCCAAAATCTTTTAATACATCTGTAATGTTTATAATCTTATTTCAAGAATAACATGCTTTTTTTGTTTCTCCTCCAACAATCGCCACCCAGTGAGTAAGAGGTTTTACAAAATTTGAATTTTTTCAGAATTTGAAGATGGTTCCATATCATGCTCCAGGTTTTTTTCCTTGCTGACCTCTGGTAAGTTTGTTATTATTATGGATACAAGATCAGCTGAGGACTTTACCAAATCTCATATCAAGCACAGCTGCTGTATTAATATACCTCATGAAATACTTAAACCTGGGTAGAGTAATGTATTATATTTTCTTTATTTTTAAGTAATGCAGTTAATTAATAAGTAGATTTGTTATGAAGAATATGTTATTTCAAATTACTTTTCCTTTACATACAGCTAATACAGACAATTTGCTTTTTTCAATTTTTTGTCTCACTTAGTCTTTTTATTGTATGCAGCAATTATAAAAATTATTGCTGATTAATAATATTCTATGTATAAAAATTATTGATAAAACAAATTGCTAATTAATTATTTTTGTTTTATAACAAAAGTTTTCTGTGTGTGCATGTTCAAGTTTATATCACTTTCTCCTGCCTGATCAATTATCAGGTCCATAGAACTGCTGAATGCTTATAGTTTCATGCGGTATTCTATTTTGAACATTTACATTTTATCATTTTGTCTATTTGCATTATAAATATAAGCCAGTTGCAATTAAAAAGTGCTCTATGAATCCATCACTCTTAAAACAGCCCTTAAATGCTTTCCAAAATGAAGATAAATATCAGATCTCATTAAAAAAGTAGAATGAATTTTTGTCTGAAACAAATTATTGTATTATTCAATGGTCTGATTGTTTAATAGCATAAATGCTAATAAGCATTACATGCAAAGATTACATTTGATGACTAATACTAACATTAATAAGATTTTAGCATCGTACCTCAATTCTTGCTCAGGCATAGAAGCATGGTAGTTAATCTGGTCATCACGTAAGCATGGAGTACCATTTCAACTTGAAGCTTTCATGACAGAGTGTTGCACGAGCAGTTGTCTTTTCTGTTCAGTGGCAGACCTCCTGGGCATT